AGAGAGAAGCAAAGGGGGAGGTCGATTAATCGCTGAGATCTGGATTGGCTACGAAAGCCTGACGCCGGTCATGCTAGACGTGCGCTCGTCGACGCTGCCTCGCCGTTTGAGGTCATCTGAGATCTTCCGTTTCTGCATGGCCGTTGACATGCCCGTGGGGGCAGCCATTTCCGTAATCTTGCCGAACTCGTCTTCTTCCTCGCTGTGTGAGGTCGTCGGACGCTGCTGGTCGGAGGCGGTATTAGCAGACGATCGATTAGGCTTCTTTAGGAAGTCTTCGTCCTTGATATTCTCCAGGGTGGCAGCAGGCGTCTCGATGATGTCTGGTATGTCTGCGTTGGGAGGGGTGTTGTTTGCGCTGCTGCTGCTGCTGAGACGAGTCTGGCCAGCGGCCCGCTGGTGAGCAGCAGATATGCGATTGCTGGCCGTCGAGCTCCTGCTGCTGCCCGTACGGCGATGTATAAGCTGGCTGGCGTCTATGCGGTCGTCGAGCCCGTCGTCTGCGCCTCCGACCTCGTTTGCGCTCAGTCGCAAGGGCACGCCGGCGCCAACCATTGTGCTGGTGTTGTAGCTTATGGAACGGCCGTTGCCGCTGTGCCTGATCTTGCCTCCGCTGATCAGGGTGCTGCTGCGGGTGGAGGAGCTGCCGTGGACTTCGAGCAGGGCTCGCTGTTTGGCAGCACGGCGCTGGGCGAGCAGGCGGGGGTCCTCTGCCTGAGCCCGATCGCACCAGACGGTGGCCTTTTGCTTGCGCAGGAGAGCCACGTAGCTGATCTGCGGCCGCTGGGAGATGGTGCTGTATCTGGTATCGAAACTGACCTGGCTCATCTGGCGGGCTGGGGCAACGTTTCCGCCGCCGGTAGAGGTGGTGCAAGTCGTTGCATTCGACGCTCTACGCGACGGCGGGGCAGCACCGTACTGTGCCTGCAGCTGGTGCTGGGGGTATTTCTGCTGCTGGGGATACTGCTGGGCCTGGTAGAACTGCTGCTGCTGGTAGTTCTGTGGAGAGGCTGCCTGCTGGTGGAACTGGCGCTGGGAGTACTGCTGCTGCTGCTGCTGGGACTGCTGATAGAACTGCTGACCCTGCTGCGGCAGCGGAAACCCCGCGACAGACTCTCTGACGGGCAGCATGTCGGCGGGCAGGAAGGAGGAGCTGGCGGTGCGCGGGCGGTACTGGGAGCTGGCGGGCCTGGCGATGCTGGAGACGCTGGCGGCGTGGAGGTGCGACGGGCCCTCGGGGAGATGCGGCGAGCTGCTGCTGCTGCGGGAGTCGAGCGTGTGGAACTGGAAGCCGGCATTGCCTGGCACCGGCTTGCGGGGAGGCGCCTTGTATACAGGCGAGCGATAGTCTGCCATCGTCATTCGGCCTGGGAGTCTCCCTGGCGTGATTCTCTTGCTTGCTTCTTCTTCTTCTTGCTGCTGGTTCTTCGTCTTGCTGCTGCTGCGGCAGTCCTCAGCAGCGCGGCCAGGGGCTCGATCGACGGCGAGAATACGAGCTGCTCGAGGGCTATGCTACCGCATCTGTCACTCTGACAGTCCTCTGGTCCGCCACTGGCAAGCTGTCAGCGGTTGCAGCGGGAGGTCGGGGGGGTGGTTGAGATTGGAATCGCGATCGCAGGCCAGGAAGAAGAAACGGGCCGAAGCGGACGGCGGTTACGGCGCGACCTCGACCGGGACTGGGCTGGGCAGAGCGAGACGGGCATGCGAGGGCCTGCCGCAGGGACAGGACGGTAGATACAGGTAGATGGAGGACGGCGGGCAGGCAGAAGCAAGCAGCTGGAGTGCGAAGGTCGAGAGAGCGAGGGCGGGCGTTGGATGTAGTTATGTATAGCCGCCGCAGCTGGAGGCTTTTTTTCTCTGATGCCAGCGAAGAAAAAAAAAAAAAGGAAAAAAAACCCTCCAACGCCACTGCTGAGACGCTGCGAAGCTTGGAACTGCTACGGTAACAGCTCGTTCGCGCAGACGAGCCAGAGGAGCCAGAGGAGCCAGAGGAGCAGACAGGCGGATTCACCAAGAGGCTGCTGCTGCTGGGCGATGAGGAAACAAGCATCTTGCCGCGCTGCAGGGGGCAGTCAAGGGCCTCATACTGGGACTTATATTATATATATATATATCTACATCTACGGCCGGCGGGCTAGAAGTCATGGCAAGGCATGGCATCGAAGCACTCGACTCGACTCGACTTGGGCTCGACTCGGCTGGCATGGCGATCGATAGCTATCTCGACTGGCTGTGCGTCTCGCTAGAGGGAGTGAATGGCATTTCAGGGGCCAGCGGGACAGAGAAGACATGACTAGAAGACCCGAGGACTCGAGGACTTAGAGGACTTAGAGGACTATAAATAGAGGCTCTCTCGCGCTGGCAGCGGGCTTGCTCGCTAAATTAACGTCCCAGCTGCTCCCAGGCCAGCCAGGAGGCGGCTCAAGCAGCGAGTTAGCAGTCAGCTAGCAGTCGAGAGACGGCAGAAGGGGAGACGACGCAGGGCAGGGCAGGGCATGGCCCGGATGCAAGGCGCAGTGCCGGCCAGAGCTTGCCCAGACGCCGCCAGTTGACGGTCTGGCGAGACGTGGCTTGCTCTCTGCTGGTCTGAACAGTCTGATAGTCTGCCAGTCCAGTCTGTCAGGCCGTCAGTCGGTCGATGTTGGGAGCAAAGGGGTTGGCAGCCTCAAGGTAGGCTCTTGAGTCTTGAGTCCTGACAGATACTGCATATACTGCATACATATAACTGCTCCGGATAATGCTATGATAGTTAAGGATCAGAGCTATGCATATAATCGAGGAACCAAGTCCTTAACTGCTATGACGGCATCCCTGGCTGTTTCGTTTCTTTTTGCGGGCTCTTCTTGCTGAAGCCTTGCTGCCCCTGACCAAGGCCTGCGCTGCTGGATTCCTCAAAACTCCCGCACCGCCGCCGAGCACTGATAGATAACTAACTAATAATGATAAATAAGGGTAATAACAATGATAAATAATGGAGATTTGACAGCCTTGGCCGGGCCAGCGAGTCTTGGAAGATCGTGCAGGCAGACAGTCCACTAGGTACCACTGTGTATACCTACGGGATACCTAGCTACTCCGTACTCTGTAACTACAGAGTTCGTATCAGACAAAGAGACGGATAGCCACAGCCTCCCTTCCCCCCCACGGCCAGTCATGTTGCATCATATTCTCTCCATGCGAAGGTCGGCCCTTTGACAGCTCCATCGATGGCCTTTATCATCCTTCGCTACACTTTTTGTGGCGCCGGGGACGCTAGGGACTCGACTTCCGGCCATCCAGGGTTGAGTGGAGAGAGACAAGAAATGGAATTAATAGTTAATTAGGCCTGCTTGCTCTGCTTGCTGCAGAAGAGCCTTGCAGAACAAGCTGCCTTTTATGCCTGACGGGAGGCCCTTCGTTCTATCACTGCAGTCTCTCTGCCAGCCAGGAGAAAGACATCCCTCCTCCGCCCCCTCTGCTGAGCCAGCTAAGAGCCAGCTAACTAACTTAACTAACTAATAACTAGTTATGGAGTCCAAAGAAGAGTCTCGCGGAGTCGGCGGGACGCTGGAGACTCAATCGGCACAGGCAGTGGGGAGTACTAGCACGAGCAGCCCTACTGCGTTGCCGTTGGAGGTCGATGATGATGTCCGTTGGTGATCTATATATGACCCCCTTTTTTTTCTTTACTACCATGTATATAACCGGCTGACGGACAAGTAATAGCACGAAAGCGACTATTCCGATGAGCTGTATGCATCACTTTCTTTGCCGTTTTTTCTCATGCGGTGCAACATGATGATGATGCACGTCGTCTAACGGGCCTGCAGGTCGAAGTACTCAGCCTCCCTAACATCCAGCGTCGTCGACTATCCCGTTGTGCATGGTCGACGATACCACGCCTACTGTCGGGGCCGTGAGTAGGGCTGTTATTATTATTATCATCATTATCATTATTGTCAATGTCTATAGTTAGTTAACCAACCGTAGGATACATGTTCCCCAATGACGAGCAGGAGAACGAACGACTGGACATCCACCATGCCCTCATCGACACCCTCTTGCATGGCCGGCTCCATATAGCCCCTATCAGCAAGGATCCCCAGCGGGTGCTCGATTTATGCACCGGAACCGGCATAGTACGTGCTTCCACCTACATGTCTTACAATCAGTTATTTGCTTTTACTAACCCGTCATCACAGTGGGCTATCTCATTCGGTAATATCACACCCCTCCCCCCCCTGAGTAATGGCTCTGGCTATGGGCTAACAGGACTCTCTATCAAGCCGATGAATACCCATCAGCTGAGGTGCGAAACCTTCCCATACAACCTCGCCAATCAACCGCACCACTAACGCTGCGAACAGGTCATAGGGAACGATCTAAGCCCTACTCAACCTTCTCTGTATGCATATCTATACCCACTCCTTCGTCAATATCTCGCTTACATGCAGACAGCGTGCCCCCGAATCTGAAATTCATCGTTGACGACGTCGAGGATGAATGGGGCTACGAAGGCAGTCCCTTCGACTACATCCACGGCCGCTTCCTGATTGCATCCATCAGAGACTGGCCCAGGCTAATAAAGCAGGCCTTTACGTATGCAACCCGCCAACCCAGTTACACCCTGCTAGTAGCCCCCGTCTAACTAAACAAACATCAAGTTGTACGAAACCCGGAGGATGGGTCGAGTTCCAGGACTGGGACGGCACTATCCGCAGCGATGACGATACCTTAAAGGGAACCCACCTATTCCAGCTGCAGGAAACAGTTAAAGAGGCGTTTATCGAGATGGGCATCAACGCGAACCCAGGTGCTGAATGCGGTAGCTGGCTCAAGGACGCCGGGTTCATTAACATCACCACCCAGGTTACTATCCNNNTTTTTTTTTTTTTTTTTTCCCTTCTTCTTCCCCTAATCCCCATGTGCGTAGTACTGACGGACAGTGGGGAGCAGAAATATAAGGTCCCGCTTGGGACGTGGCCGAAGGATAAACACTTGAAGACTGTAGGTGCGTATAACTTGCTTCAACACACCAAGGGACTAGGGGGTATTGCCAATCTGCCTTTGATCAAAAAGGGCTGGCAACCAGAGGAGATCGAGGTCCTTTTGTCAAAAACGCGGGAAGATCTAAGGAACCGTTCCATTCATGCGTATTTCAATTTGTAGGTTTAGTACATGCCTTGTTTCTACCTGTTTTTGGCCTTGGTCATGGACTAACGTTGGAGCTGGATAGTTATGTCGTATACGGTCAGAAACCTGATGCTACGTCGGCTACGGGAGGATGAAGATCTTTTTTTTTTTTTTTTTTTTTTTTTTTAACCGAATAACTATAACTAGTGTTTCTTTATTTCTGTGGGTGCAGCGATCATTTTGAATATTCTCCAAATAGATACCCTTGGTATTCAGAAATAGGCAACGCGTCAAAATCCCGTATCAATTGAGTTCTCATCCAAATATCTTGAGATGTAATCGCCATTTAAACGTCAGAGTACATGCAGAGCATCCTTTTTTAAATAACTGTGACTTCAATGTATCCATTGGCGGCCAGGTAGTTCGCTCAACGACCGATCCACCGACTTCGTCTCTCTGAATCCTAAGACAAGTCGAAAATGCCAGGTCGGGGAAGAGAGAGCAAGCGGCCGGCAGGATCCCTGCGGGAAGTCGGAAACACGTTGTTGCGAAATAACGCGAAAGCCATGAAGGGATAGGCCATTTGCAATTCTCGTGATCTATTCCTTAGGGGCGAGCCAGCTGCCCATCCCACGATTCTAGTACGAGCATGGAAGAGCGCTACACCAACATTGTAGGCATGCGCCTGATAAAAACAGAATTCATCACTCTGCTCCATGGCTGAGAAACTCGCAACATCCGCACACATGCCCTCATGGTACTGAAACTTGATTCGGGATTGCGGGAAATACCGGGCCCTGCTGTCCACGAGAGTAAAGACCTGAGATAAATTCGGGTAAGTTACCACGGCCAGCATGTACACGGGGGCTCCGGCCTTCCGTTCCGGGGGGGTTTGATAGCTAGCAGCTAGGTGAGTTTTCCCTGGCTTAAGCAATTCGCGCGGGATTGGAGCATCTTCTGTCAAAAGTCCGATCTCTACCGCTTGGTATTCAAACTTGTGTAGTATGTGCTTGCTGGGCGGTTCTGGAATTGCATCTGCCGTTGTCCAATGATGGAATACCATGGAGAGAAAAGTTTTTATCTCCTCTTTCGTAACCTGAACATTGGGGTCCGTGTATTTCTTGATACGGCGAATGTAAGCCTGAAGTTCCTTCTTTTGCTCACGAGAAAGCTGATCGGGGGAACAAATCAAATTTTTGGTAGCGTCTGGTATGACGGCAGGCTCTGGCAAAGAGTCAGGGATATCCATTCTTTCCTTTCTGTTTCCTATGTAGTATAAAATCCCGTCTCTCGAGGAATAAGGGGATTTTTCGCCCCTTTTGGTTATCTAGTTGAGAAAAATAACGCCAGTGACGTAGAAGAGAGTAAGGCTCGTCAGAAGGATATTCTAGATAGATTCATCAGTCTGGACAAATTCTTGGGGGGTTGACATGAAAGCTATGCCATACATGGATGGCCAAAAGGCTGGTCAGAAAGTAAAAAAATCGGGTATACCTAGATGTGAGAAGCGAAATTCAAGTCCCTTGTCGAGTTTACACAGCAAAGGTAAATAAACCGGACTTGGAGTGTAAATGAGCGTACCAATCGTGGCGTTTCACTCCTGGTAAAGGTTCTCAAGGCCTATGCGATGGGCTCAAAAGGAGAGCAAGCTTCGAGGACAGCCAACTAGAAAGGAAGAAGTGGTATCATCATACAAGAAAAAAAAAAAAAATGCCAGAGAGACTTTAGCCTCTGTCAGGCTATTCAGTGACTAGTGTTCACATTGCTATTTGATTAACCTAGCATGCGATATTGGGGAATTATCGCATCGTTGATGCCCCGATATTTCTTTCACTAAGAAATAAGTTTTTAGATGCTTCCTACAATATTATAAAAAGCATCACCAAATAACTATGTTATTCTTTAAACCCTCATCATTATGTCTGTCAAATGGGTATCATCTTAGAATCCAGTATATTTTTTATCAGAATATGGTCTTTTATATGTAGCCGCGTTGTTGTTCTGTTTCTCTCTCCCTCTCTTTTTTTGCCGCCGAAATAGACGCCGTGATTAGTCATCAACGTCAAATCACGTGCCTAATTAATCGAGTTGACGCGTTTAGTTCGCGTTTGTTGCGATGTCGAAGCGACAACAAGCAGGCAGCAAACACACTTGGACAGACAGGAGACAAGACGGTTGTACGGCCCATGACTTGTTTCTGCATCTTTGATTCTCTCATTTGACAGAGATACACACCCTCGTTTGATCCCCCGAACCGAAAATTGTCACGTCATAGCTCCAGCCAGGAATACGACTGTCGCTCGCTACAACTTCAATCAAATATTGACGGCCTCCGAGACACGGATTCTTAACCCTTGGCCCATTAGCTACGCATTGACATAGAACTCCATCGATTTCCACGCGAATTTTCCGATAATTGGCTATTACTAGAGGGACTCCTGTGCGGTAATACCTAGGTGCATGGTTGAAAACCGCGGATCAGGGCAAAAATCTATGATTATTTGCAGTCCTTCACAACGCTCAATATAGATTAAAATGACAGAGGTCGATGTTCGTCCAGGCATGAATGGACTACCTGCTTCAAGATTGACCCCGGATCCCCCAAAGAAACGGATCTTCGAGGAGTTGGAAACTACTTCCCAACCTAGTTCTACACCCACAGTACAATCCAATGTTGACAGTGCTGTTGATTCCCATAGCTCCTCCAACCATGATCCGTCACCTATAAATGCAGGTCCTGTTCCAGCAGATGCTATTCCTCAAGCCTCAAATGATATAACCACTAGTGAAACTCCTTCTACCCCTAAAGAGAAGCCAGCCAACCCCAATAAAAAACGCAAGCTATCACCCGCAAGCAAAGAGGCTAAAGAAAAGCAGAAGGCGGAGGAAAAGGCTAAAAAGGAAGCGGAACGAAAAGCAAAAGAAGAGGAGAAGAGAAAGCGTGATGAAGAAAAAGAAGAGGAACGTAAATTGAAAGAAAAGGAGAAGAAGAAGCGTGAAGAGGAGAGGGAGGAGAAAAGACGCCAGAAAGAAGAAGAGAAACAGGCCAAAGAAGATGAAAAGCGAAAGAAGGAGGAAGAAAAGCAGAGGAAAGAGAGGGTATGTGACATGGTATCAGTATCGCAGAGAGTTAACATGGCTAACAAACCGACTGTAGTCCCAGATGAAACTTAATGCTTTCTTCACAAAACCAAAGGCTACCCCCAGCGCAACGACAGGAAACGAAACCAATTCTGCTGGGACAACGACCAATTTGCCCTCTGATTCAGCCACCAGAGCATCTAAACCCGCGTCAGATTTCGAACTTGAATTCCCACCCTTCTTCATTCAGTCACACGTGAAGCTGGCTCCTAACCATAGGTTTGAGCGAGATTCAAGTGCATTAAGTCATGCATGCGAGAAACTCGACAACCTCCGTAAATCCGATTTTGGACTTGCGAACGATGACATCCCATTGCAACGGTATAACCCTGCTGAGTTGTTCCAGATGATATCATATAGGCGTCGCCAGGGTGAACTAGCAACCCCGTCTGTGAAGGAAATTCTCCTTAAGCTTCAAGACCCCGACCTTAATAGCATTAACCTTACGGATACGAATGGAACGGCAACCCAGGTAGAGAAGTTGCTTCGAAAGATACCCATGAAGGTTTTAAACTTCAGAGAAGATGTCAGGCCTCCGTACCAAGGCACATTCACTAAACGATTGGAACAAAGGGCTGCCCGAAAGCTATGTCGAAATCCGTTCTGGCGGGGCGTACCCGAGTTCAATTATGATTATGACTCCGAAGCAGAATGGGAAGAGCCAGAAGAGGGAGAGGATATCCTTTCTGAAGGGGATGATGAAGTCAGCGATGATGGAGAAGATGACATGGATGATTTCTTAGACGATGGAGAAGACGAGTCAGCCAATACAAAACGGAGAATGATTGTTGGAGATCTCGAGCCGAAATGCACAGGAATATGCTGGGCCGAGGACAGCGCTGACAACCCAATAATAAATCAACACCGAATGGAAATTATATCAGGTATGGCCAGGCTCACATATGTCTTACAGGGATATATCAGAACTAACCTATCACAGAAAATATAACATTCCCCATTGACCCCTTTTCTACTCAATATTGGGAGACCAAACCGAAAGTATCTCCAGGGAATTCGGCTTTCAAAGTTCCCCATAGGCCATCCACAGGCAAAACACCTTCATCAAAATCACAGCAACAATCATTATTATCACCTTCGTCGGCTGCAAAATCCTCCAAGCATCTTACTCCAATGGTGGTTGTACCTGTCAGCAAACCTAAACCACGAATTCAATTCCCAGAAGATAAACTGGATGAATTCAAGGAAGCTGTTTCAGGAAGCAATCTAACCAAAGCTGGATTGATTGAGGTTTTGAAGAAAAGGTATACTTCATCCTCCACCCTACCTTAAATTCACGTCAGGAGTGGAGATACTAACCATCGATATCTGTTCCTTGTCTAGATTCCCCAAAGTGTCCAAAGATGTCATCAAAGAGACTCTCACCATCCTCGCAGCCCGCCAGGGTCAAAAAGAAGTAGACAAAAAATGGGTCCTGCTTTAAATATTTATGATTTTCTCAATGTTTACTTTCTTCACCCCTAACCCTATGAAGATTATTTATATTGTTCCTATACCCTATCTTCCATGGCGAACTTCTTGCCATTATGACTATGTCATGCTCGTGTCCCCAGACACCCTTTTCCTAGCTTCGCTGGCTGTTCATATACCCTGTGTCCCCGAGTAAGTGGCTTGCATCTTTCGATGTCGTGAGCATTTTAATTGGCAGCTCGTTTTGTTACATATAGATAAGATTATCTTACATATTAGATATCCTGGCAATTTGCATGTATCCCTACGCTGTTTTTGAGGGTATTTATCCTCATAAAGTCTGAATGAACAACAAGTTCCGTATAATTGCAAGCAACGACCTGAAGGTCGCATATCTTCTTCCATGCTTCAAACATTGCTGAGGCAACTATAGTAATAAGTATAACGGCCTTGATCTACATAGGGTAGACTACCTAGCCCATCCATGATACCATGATTTTTGCCAACATTTTCCTCGGAAGCTCATTGTTCAGCAAGCCGATCCTAAGATGTCTAAGTTTAGTAAGGTAGGCTTTGAATCATCTCCTGCTCTTTCATATATCTCCATGTTAATCCCAGACAAGATGTCAAGAGTTTGGATTAAAGGATTGGCTCTAGATGCCTCTGGCGGCATCCGTGGACAGATCAGACGAAGTTGTGGCTAGAGAGATACAAGGTATAAAGGTAGCCGTGAGGTCTTGTCGTATCTTTGGATGCGCCTAGGTAGGTATAGAGGCCACACCTGGCCATCTGCGCAGGAGCTACCCTCTGAAACTGCCCCAAAATACCTTGAATGGCATGATAGCAGCAATATCGGACTGTGTTAGCAGGAATGAAATGATCGAGCGCTTTTAGATGTGAATAACCTAGATATTTTATACTCCCCTTTCTTTCTGACCTAGATATTGCCAGACCAAGTGGTGATATTGGAGGGTCGTCCTCGTAAGGAAACTGACCTAGGAGCATCGGAGGCGGCAGCTGTCACCTCAGAGGAAACCAGAAGCATCTTTGTGCTAGGTATAGGTCGGGGATACTATATAGCTGTATTTGTTGCATCCATTTTGTTAAGCGAAGTCGATAATATAGCGTGCTTTGGTTCATACGCTGTAGAATATAGAGGGATCATCCTGCCAGCTGCATAATCAAGTAGAAATCGCTTAAAGGCCGTCATGGGAAGGCTGGAGAAGTCCCAGCAACGCAGTTATTAACGCGGGTATCATGTGTCGAGTACACCGACTCTTTCCCGGCTTTCTTCGCTGAAGTTGATATAAAGACGTTCCAGAAGAACGAGTAAGCTTAAACCGACGTCAACGCCTCAACCTCACCTTCACTGACAAGGACAACAACGACAACAACAGTAGCAGCAGCAAGACAACGATGGTCAGCTACTACAACAGTTACCTGGGCTGCGGGACAGTCACCAAGGAGAGACGTGGACACCCAGTAGTAGTGAGTACTTCTTGTTGTGCTGCTATGACATCAGATGAGAGACCACATGAGCCGACGGCTCAGCAGCGGCCTGACACCGTGGAATGCCTGCCTGACCAGTTACAGATTCCTCATCGACCTGAAAGCTGAAACTGCTCCGTCCTATCCGCCAACAGCCCTCTTGAGCCTCTCTGCAACGGCGTCTGAGGCGTTCAGGGCTCAGCTGCGAATGTCCCATAATTTGGCCACTATGTTGGCTAACTAGCTAACTTACTCCTCTGCGACTCGACTAGTTAACTGCCATAGTCTGCTCAGGCCAAAATTTACGAAGAACAAGTCGCCCTTTGACAAAAAGACGAGCTAGGCATCCCATTCGCCATCTGGATCGATAGCCTGTCCCGTTGCTCCCCCAGAGTTTGTTTTGCTTTCATGTGTTTATGGTGGGATGGGCGTGGCCCAACCGGAGCTGGTATATCAGATGCAAGCGGGGCGCTAGACGTGGTGGAATGCATGCATCGTTGCCAGCTCATCGACCAGACCCTGTCACCATGCTAGTCGCTCATTTGGCGCATCTGGCTGCAGCTGCAGTAACAGTGTATGGCCCTCCAGATGTTTTGAATGTGTCTCAAGCGGAAGGAAACGGAGGGAATGACGAGGAGAGATAGGATGAAGACAAGAAGAGAATGAAGAAAAACAAAAAGCAAAGGGCTGAAGAAGTACAGAGTACAAGAGAGAGGACAACAGAAGATGACGAAAGAAGCGATGACTGGGCAAACATTCGGACTTGAACATGGCAAACCCGTTACTTTTTCTGCTCCCCATTTTTGCTTCTTTTCACTCTTGACGAAAAAGGTCGTTTGATGCATTGGACCAACGACGTGGCAGAGCTGATCTGCGACCAAGTCCAAGACCGCCCAACCTATCTGCACGACGACACAAAGAGCGATGGGGATGGAGCCTATCGTGTCTTGAAAGGCCTTGTCCGCAACCCATCATTTACGAGGAGCATGGCAGTTACGGGGATTACACTCCAACACGGAAAATCTGCAAGAATAATGAATTCCTCTCCCTACCTTTTTCTTTTCTTTTCTTTTCTTTCTTTTCTTTTCTTTTTTTTTTTTTGCTTTCGAAAGAAGAAAATGCTGTGAATGACCCCACGAAACTAGAGAAAGCCTCAGCCGTCCCGCCATTAGGTTGATATCTTAGGGCTGTCAAAGGCTGAATATGTTGATATTGCTTCCGTGCCAGGCGGTGAGACGGGCAGCGGACAACGGGCAACGGGCAACGAAGGCATGGCCGTCTGCGCCTGTTCAACCCATGCAAAGCCGCAACCATGGCCCGGGATAGGAGGAGGAAAGTGAAGGGAGATGGGGGAAAAAATAAAAAATGGAAGCAACAAAGTGCAACGATCTATTCTTAACCATCTGCCAAAAACGCACGGAATATAAGCCGGGCCAGCACTTCTGGGGTGTGGAAATGAGGAGGGCTAAGTCTGCAGACAACCAACTCAAGGTGCAGCTCGAGGTTTCAACCGCCGGGTTCAACCCTGACCGTTGAAGTATGACATCGCAAAGCTCGTCGCCAGCCAGGCGGTTCATCGAGGTTTCCCGCGTTTCCTTTGACCCTGTTGGCATGTATCACCCTTGATCGCCACTACATTGAACATATTACCTACGGAGTACACGCATTGCATGGGGAGTTACTCCAGGGCGAGAAGAGTGAGCGAGTATTTTTGCATCCTGCTGCTCCTCCTCGTCCTCCTCGAGCTGCTCGTCCTGCCACCTGGACTTGTACGCCCCCTTACGCTCTCTCACATGCAGGGAGAGAGACGACGCTGCCAATCACAGGGCGCTCCAGCACGCCGTCCTCGATCAACTCCAGCACTTCTAGGCGTCGCCTTTTGATCGGAGGGAACCGAGCAAGTAAGAAACGACACATCTCTAGCCACTCAAAAAGCTAACCCCCCCTTCCTCTGCCTTCCTTTCTTTTCCCTTCTTGTTCCAACCCCCATAACGCATACGGACCCAGGAGCCGCGAGAAACCTTGAGGAACAAACCGGCCAGTCGATACGGGAGCATCGCTGTCCCTCTTAGTAACGGGCCTACGGAGTTCCCTCACGTAGCGTAAGACTAGCAGCAGCAATAATCGTGATGGGGCGTAAGCAGAATATGTAACCAGCAAAGAAGAAAAGAAAAAGAACGCAGTCCTTGTCAGGCCAACGCACTCCCCCCTTAACACGATCAGGATCCCTTTGCCGCTCCGCTGCGCTTCTTATACACATGAAGGAGACCTCCCGGGCAGCGCAGAGAGACAACTCCGTCTCCCTCGTCAGCAGCCCAGCAGTCCCTGTCGTGTCTGCAGCAGTCCTTTTTTTAGATTCTCCCCTCCCCCCTATCCATCGTCCCATCCGCCTGCGCTGCTGGCTGTCTCGCTGCTGCTGCTGCTGCTGCTGCTGTATCTCCTTCGCGGGCCAACTCATCAACCGCTAACTCACTAACCAGACCAAAAAAAACCACCCCACGCTGGAACCAACTTCCAGCCACTTTCTGTCTCTCCGTCTCTTCGCTCGCCCGTCGGGTTCTGCTGCTGCTACTTCACTCCCTCAGGCTTCGAGCGACCATCTCGAGCCATGCGATAGTCTGCGTGGGTTCTGCTCTGTTCGCTCTGTCAGCTTGGGCGCTCGGGACTGCGACGGTCTCGAGATCGATGGCCCTGTCCTCGCCCATGGAAATATGATCAGCTTTCAACACGCCTGTCTCCCTTCGGTTCTGGCGTATGCTGCTGCTACCGGTATGTCGAGATGGCCTTTCTGCGCTGGGCCTGCTTGTTGCAAGCTTGCTGACCTGTGGGCTGTTGGTGGAATCTATAACCGTAGCTCTCCCTCCATCGCCATCTAGTTCTCCGCCTAGATGCTATACCCCTACGACAACAACAACAACACCAACAACGACAACAACAACAACAAGCACGACAACAAAAACAACAGCACACCCTACTACCGACGCCGCAGAGAACGCCACGCCGGATTACCCCCCGTCAGAGCATGCTACGCCCCAGTCCGCTCGACGGGAAGACGACGGCTCCGCTGCCCGCGATGTTGCCCCAGAGCCTAAGGCGCCGGTTGATCCACTGGTTGCTGGTGTAAGTGCCCGCCTGGAACCCCTGGGACGTGAACCAAAAACCAAGGAGCAAGAGCAGAAGGAGCCCGAATCCGCACCTGAGGCCGTCAAGGATGAGAAGAACGCTGAGTGCTCGTTGAAGATGGCTCCCGAACCCATGATATTGGTCTCCCAGTTTGCCCACCAGTTTTATCTGCAGAGGTATCAGGAGGCCCAGAGACGTGCCAGCCTTCTCAGGATCAGTGACCTCCACGTTTCCGTCCATTACTCTGCTAGGTTGCTCCGTGTTGCTGCTGTATCGCACAAGGGTCTAGTCGACAGCCTTCGACTTGGAGACAAGTCCGCATTTGCCTCGGTCTACAACGCCGTCCATGAGATCCGCGAGGTTTGTGAATCTGCTGTCCGGCGCAGCATCCTCGACCATGACCCTTTGATTGGGACTGGCGCCCTGAAGGGCAGACCACATACATTTCTCCATAGACTCTCCGTCGGTTCAAGGGCAGACCTGCTCGAGATTTTGACCCTTGTCCGTACTGATTCACAGTTTCTATTCGAGTGTATCAGCAACTTGACTCCCTCGCAGCTCTCTGCTCTCGTCAGCCCCGTCCATGCACTGGAAATTAGTAGTCCTTCGGATGCTAGAGGTAGAAGCCAGCCTTCATCCTCTTCCTCGTCCTTTTACAAGCGTGGTGCTACTCATTCTTCTGCTTTCAAAGACTATGCTTTTTCCTTTGAGCGTACTGACCCGCTCTTTGCGCTTCTGTTTAACGTTTATTCCACCACTTTGGACCCCGATTCATCGGAAGCCCAACTGCGCCTAGACGTTTGGTCCTCGACTTGCGCCAAACTGATCTCCCACGGAGGCAGTGGAATGTATACCTTTGTTGGTCATCTCCTCAATATTTGGTCCGGACTCGGTGAATGGAAGGCCAAAGCCAAGTTTGAAATATACCTCATGGACATACTACAGAATGGAGCTTTTCTTCTCGAGTCTAGCTCCAGACACTCGGATATGGATGGCGATGCCTTTGACCCCATGAAAACAGATGTTGCGGAACAGTTATTTAGAACATCTGTCCAGGCGCTGTTTGAAGTTCTCGATGATTCGGACGGGGGGTTCCCAGCCGGGTCCCTTGAGTTTGGAAGAGCCATCATCGAGAAGCTCGGCGTATCAGATACCTGCCGACGGTTTTTAGGCTACGTTTTCTACCAGTGGTTCTTTGGCAAATTTGTTCACAGCGCCATGTGCTTCCCTGAGGTTTGTTCTCCATATGTACCATGTCTATTTCTTAAAGCTGCCCTGTCCTAACATTTTCTATTAGAGCCATGGCCTTCTGCTTGACTTCCATGTCACCAAGGACGCCCGGGAACGGCTCCTTGGACACATTGCTCTTTACGCCCAACGTCAGGTTTCTCACATTCTCCAGTCGCTCCCGCCATTCTCCTATATCATTCCTAAGATCAAGACGCATGTAGACCGTATGCTCTCTAGACTCATCGATCCGGTCAAACATACCCCTGATACCACCCCGTTATCCTCCCCTCCGGACTCCAGCTTGGCCCAAAGCTCCATGGAACAGAATAATGCAGGCTCAGTTATTCTTCTTTCCTCGAGTGATATACTAACCATACTGGATGTCTTCTTCCCCAAGCCCCCCATTTCCGGCTCCCCCGACTTATTTTCCCAGCAAACTTCATTCCCTTCCTCACCAGCATCAACCTTCTTCCCGCGATCGGGCCAACCACATCAGTCTTATGAACCAGGTCTCTTCCAAGGAAGGCTCGACACCCCTTCATATAACCCACCTACCGCCAAAACCATGTTCACCACCGAGATAAGTTTCCAGGATGTCACAAAATCCTACTTTGTACGACCCAGCAAACCGTTAACCCAGGAGTCGCCCAAGAACCCCCAGCTCCGCAAGGCGGATCGCATTCGCGATGAGATTCTAGAGATTCGAGAGTCGGAGGATCGGCCAACGCTGGATCACCCTGCAAACGAGGATTGGGCGATGCTTTCTGTCAGCGGCAGGAAGCCGGTAGATCTGTATGCAACCGATACCGAACAGTCTAGCCATCAGAGCCCAGCCTCTAGAACCGAGCTGCTCCGCAACCAGGACAAAATCGAGGCTGCCGTTGTGAAGATTGTCCACGAGTTTGATTTCCCCCAAAAACCAAGCCCTTGCCCAATCGTCAGCACCGCCCACTGCGAATGGTGAACTCAGCCTGAAGAAATGGTTCCTTCATGCGATGGGAATGTGCCAGCGAAAGTCTGACTTTTCTGGTGCCCATTTCTGGTGGGAAGCCTCCCTTGCTTTGCGTGACGCATACGCGGAATTAGGGCAGTCTGTGGCAGACACCAAGTACCTCAGTCCCATGTATCGCTCCGTTACACAATCGGCAGACCTGGACTCGAACATGATTCAACGTTGTGAACAATCATTTATTGACCTTAAGAGAAAGATGGATCTTCTTCAGTCCCAGGTTAATAAGACCATGGGCATCATGGCACAGCTCCGGAACAAGATGTGGTATATGACCGACGTCAAGAATTCGCTCCGCTACGAGGATGCAAAGAATGTGGCTCTGGCTCTGAAAAACATGGCCCTTGCTCAGGCTACACAACCAGCCGCGGAATCCAGATCGAGGACGGGAGCACGAACTCTTGGTGGATCTTTCCTGCAAAAGCCCGAAATACAAGTCATGAACGTGATGCGAGCTGCAAAAAGCCAAGGAGGCCCCTTCAAGCTAGCCGATGAACAGGTAGAAATTACTCGGAAATGGCTCCAGCGCTTTGGAATAGATAATTTCTGCCGAGGCGAAGAACGAATTCATCGGTTCTGCTATGAGGTAAAAACTAGCGTAAACAAACTCGCTGGTGAGACCATGTACGATACCCCTGTTCTCTGGTCCAGCGAGCTTTTCCAGAGAGAACGATCAACATATGATACTCCTGGTACGCGGCCGATGAGCGGAAGTGTGCGTCCGTCAAGCATCGCAAGTGAAGATTCACTGGGGAATCCTATGCAGCCTCCTGCTATACGATCTCTAGATCAATTATTCCGGCCTCCAAATGACCTGCCAATGCCTCCACTTGTTCGGAAGTCATCCTTCCAGAGCGTTACTTCCGATAAGTGGCAGACCAACGGAAACGCATCTTCTATTAGCGACTCCCCTGGTAAAACTGTATCGACTGCTACTACTGATTCAATTTACCCCTACTGGTCCCCCATGCAGACCCAAACTCAGTCTATAACCAGTGCCTCCAGCCTTCGGTCTCGACCTCCGTCTATGTTCAGCGATAATATGTCTTACAGGCGTACCGAACATAGCTCTCATGGCAAGCATACTTTTCTTGATGGTCTCAAGCGAAATTTAACCAGTCTACTGCTAAGCGATCTCGGCTGTCCCGTTTGGAGCTGCGGATCGGAAACCGACGCCTGGTTCTCTGCCTACTTGAATCAACCTCGAGTACAGAGCCAGATGGAGAAACGTACACGGCTTGACAGGTTCCTATCGCAATGCTCAACTTCACTGATGGAAGAAATCCGCGAGCGTGACGTTACTGGTGGAAGACTTCGTCGAAGTCGTTCTACTCCGTCTCTGGGATGCAAGGGGCATTCAACCCAGAAATCCAAGGAGAAAAGCATCATCAGGGGAGAAGTGGATGGCGACTACAGCTTCGGATACGAGGAGGCATTTGAGCAGTTGATGGACAAGTTCTCCCGTCCAGCCAATCCGTACGTGAAGCTGGAAGCACTGCACGAGATGTGGACTCTGGTAGCGACATCTTTGAGCAGTAGCAGAGACACTCCTTCGCTGAGTGAAGCGCGATTACGCCATTCGATGGATGGCATCCACAGACGTAACAGCCTGCAGGCCCGTCAGCAACGACGCAAGTCCAGCGATGACCAGACTCCTACACCCTCGTCGCCTGGCCTTAGCCCTGCTGAAGCTCCTTCCGGTCTCTCGATAGATGCAGCGATGAATGAGACACAAATTACAAACACACTGCGAGACCTTATCCAGAAGTATCAGCCCCGAACCCTCTTCCGAGACTTGCAGTTCATCTCTTCCTTCGTTCCATCCGACATCCTCAACAAAACCGAGAGCGGGACCGCTTTCCTGCAGTTCAGTCTTGCCGCTCTCAAGCTCAAGGACGACGTCTGCAACAGCATGATTGAAATCGCAGACAAGATTTTGTGTGACGAACTTGCTCAACGACACCGGCACTCACATCCGATCTCGTACGACTTCTCCCCCAAAGTTGGTAACGGGATCAAAGACGCAGCGAACATGTGGATTGTCACTGCCCGGGAAGGGAACCCTGTTGCACAGCGAGAGCTAGCAATCCTGTACCTTACTCACCCACATCTCCTCCGCCCCGTCACACTCCCTCTCACTAAGCCCGGGGACACTTTCAAAGCCGAGGTGATGTACCGACGAGACCAAGATTCCAAGTCTGACCCCCAGAATATGTGCCTGGCTCTGCACTGGATGCAGCTATCGGCCGCTGGAGGCGACGAGCTGGCCAAGAACTGGCTCAAGGAACGGCAGGAGTTTGAATCTATCTCTTGATATGAATGATTTACGACCTATTTATCCAGCAATTTTGTGAAAAGGGCTTTGTGTTATTGTGCTTTCGAGAAAGAAAAGAAAAAATATCTCTCCCTTCTGTTCTATACCAGCTTTTTTTCAACCGCTGTTTTTTATTTGCATTCCTTGACTCTGTTCTCTATGCTTCTTTTGTTCTTATTAAAGATTCACCATATGTGTCTTTCTAATTACCCCCTTTTAACTATACATGCAGTGCATGGCTGTTTTGAAAACCTCGGCTGCTCTTCCTTTCTCTTCTTTTCCTTGCTCCCTTTCTACAATGTTCGTTACTTGCCATCTTCAAAGATAAATGATTATTCCAACCTCTCTTGCTATATGGCCTGCCAGTTTGAGAAAAGACCAAACATATACCAGCCCTCGAGTTCATCGTGCCAATCGTTCCCTCGATCTTCTTTCTCGTTTTCTCACACCAACTGTCTCAAGTACCATTTTCTTTTGATTTCCTTTAGTTTTGGGAGGCTCAGATCTTGCTATATATTCATGTCTGCATTCCTTGCCTCGTTTATTTATAGGCTATATTCCCACCCCCTGCTATCCAGTTTGCTTGGAGCCCATGCTTAATTTTTTTTTTTTTGCCCCTTTAAAAAAAAAGGTGTCTGTCTGTTGCATTTCAGCGTACGGCAGTTATTCTTGTCCCTTCTCTGTTTACTCTCTATATTCTCCTCCCCAGCTTGTGTATGTTACCGGCAGCAGATGATATGGTACGGGGCTAGTTATCTATATCTATGTCCACCTTGTTATGTATGTACTTGACCATGCCCGGTGACGGCAGGTCTGCAGACAACTACGAAGGATACATCCACGTTCCTCCCTCCCGCGCGTCTCCAGTATCCTCTCCTATAGTAGAACAGCGCTATAGCTGGCTATTTATAACTGACTGACTGACTGTAACTACGGGGCAGGGCATGACCAGCCTCCATTCATGTGCTGCAGCGGAAAGCCCCTTTTGCGTGACCGCATCAGGAACAAATCTAGTTACGTCATATTTTTTCACGTGAGGGCGGACGGAATAATAAACAGTCGAAATGTCGGTTTGCGATGCTCGACAGAAGTCCGAACGAGAAGATAATTAAAAAAAAAAAAAAAAAAAAAACAAAAAAAAAAAAGGAACAGCCAGCAGTCAAGCGGATAGTTGACGGCCTCCTTTCCTCTCGGACTTTGTCGGTCGTTATAAAGAGCATACATCCAGTCGCTTGATCGCCGTGATTTACGAGACAGCCACATTGCGCCCAAGTGCTTGTTCCCCGCAAGCAGAAGAATATCTAACTAATTCGACGCAACGAGAGACCCCTCCTACCAGGTCAAACTTCAATTCGCCTCGACGCAGAGATCTCGTCATTGAAGGTGAGAATGATATGCTGGGATGGAAGAGATGACTGGCATGGCATGAGCTGACCTGTGTAGCAGACGCCCGAATAACTACATTTAACTACTATATAAAAAAAGATGTCTACAATGCAGGAGCAGACGTCGGCTGCCGCCCATCATGAGCATGAGACGGCACCACGGCCAAAGGGTATGCAATAACTATCTGGATGTTATGGCTATCACCATCTTGGAGACGACCCGTTTAACAAGCAAACCCTGTCCCAGGTATCCTCAAGTCTCCGGTGTCCATATCTACCGTCACACCAAGCGCAGACCCATCGCTAATGTCACTATCGCCGCTCGAGAATAAGGAACTGACAATGCAAAATACAATGCAAAATGCCGGTGTCGGCGTCAAGCAGCGAGCTCGTGCCTCTTCCCATCGCAAATCCACCAGTTCCAGAGCCTCGAACGGCGACGAGGCGACGGAGAACTCGCCCCGGCTGAAATGGGACGAGGCAAACCTCTACCTCACCGAACAAGAGCGGACTTCGACCATGAAGATCGATGAGCCCAAGACACCGTATGTGCCGCACTACGACTACAACGAAGAGAATGACGACATGGACCTCGGAGAAGACGACGTCGGGTTCCATGTTGAAGGAGTGGTGGTGGATGAGCTAGATATGAACAAGGCCAAGAGCAAGAGCAAGAGCAAGTCAAGGGCGGACGACATACCCGATCTAGAGCTAGGAGACCCGGAAGAAGATACGTGGAAGGACGTCAGGGCGAGCGAGGCGGATCGGATCGTGCGAGAACGAAGTCTGAGCTTTGGAAGCACAGGGAGCAAGAAACGTGTCGTCGTTGGAGGGGACGACAAGGATGAGCATGATCCCACACAGGAGGAGGCGCAGAAACACCACGATTTTGAAGAGAAGCGGAAGAAACATTATGAGATGGGCAATATCAAGAATCTCCTTGGGTGAGTTTATATCGATATAATTGCTACTTTAAAAAGAAGGAAGCTGACTTCCGACAAAGACACCCTGAGAAGATAGATGTTGATGAAGACGAGGACGAGGACGAGGACGAAGACAAGGCACATGCGGGTGCTCCGAGACAGCCTCCGGCCGTCCCTAAGATTCCCGAACAGTATGCAAAGCAGTCGCACTAACTAACAGGACGGCATCTCGCATGCTCCCTTCTCACCGATGTACAGCCTCTTGACCCCCCTTGATGAACTCGCTTGCATTTCATACAGTTACTTAGCATGTCTTCAACTCATCTTTTNNCCTTTTTTTTTTTTTCAATCCCCGAGTTTTGATGTACCTAACTTGCATAGTCCTTGTATACCAAATCGCAATTCCCTTCCCCCCCCATGCTGATGCTAACTCCGTTGCAGTACACCATACGGAGTACCAGGAATAATACTCCCCATACCGGTCATTATTATTAGTTAGTCGAAGCACAGGCACAGATCTTCCAGGTAAGATTGACCGGGTTTCTGCTCCGTACTTCATCTTACCAAGGCCTGGCCCTCCCTCGCCCGTTTCATTTTCTCCTGTTAATCTCCAGTATCACCGTTGCAGCCACCAACCAGGTAACATTTGCTACCAAGTTAACTATAAACAGCACCATTAACCCCCAGCAGCAGCAGCTAGCGGATAATCCAACTAGCTAACTAGTTATCTGTCTCTTAAGTACATCTCTGCCATGCCCCTCTTAGCCTGCTAAGCAAGCGGAAGCCCTCTTTTCCGGCTGGTAATTAAAAACCTGGACGTCCAGCCAGGTATGCAATCTCTTGTGATACAAAACAAGGCTGCCCCCTGGCCTCCCTAGTGTCGCTGCTGCTAAGATTATCTCTTGTCTCCCTCAGTGTGCAGGAAAGGCCTGGCTGTCTCAGGGGTTCTGTTACTAGTGACTAGCCTGCTGGAGGATACTTACAGGACATGCAGAAGAGCCAGCAGCAGCAGTAGAAGCAGCAGCAGCAGCAGCAGCAGCAATAAAAATATATAGCCAAACTGCCTGCGCTCCCTGCTATGCTAATTGATAATAACAAAGATCTTGCTATTATTTACATTGACTGAGTGCCGCATGGCTGCTTCTGCTCGCTGACGAAGCGACAGATTCTTTTTCTCTTGCATTAAAATATTTAGAAAAGACTAGAAGAAAAATATTTCCTTCTTTCTTTCTCCTTCTCTCCTCCATCTTCTTGTATCCTTTTTTTTTTTGCATTCTGGCTAGACAAGCTGGTGGGCTGATCAAGCTGCTGATAGCTGGAAAAACGTGACTTTACTTTTGTCTCCCTAGGTAGGTCAGGAACATTCAAGCAGGAGGAGGAGGAGGAGGCACAACAGAGAGGAAGAAGCTGACAATGAGATGACAGGCTGACCCAGGGAAGTGAGCGCGAGACTCGGTCACCAATACAATGGATAAGACTCAGGAGAAGGTCGAGCAGCCTGTCGCTCAGGCTGAAGCTGCCGCAGCCGTTGAGGCCGAGAAGGTCGAGAAAGCAGTCGAAAAAGCCGACGAGAAGCAAGTCGAGGAGAAGAAGGACGCTGAACAAGCTCCCTCGAAGCCCGCCGAAGACAAAAAGGATGCTGAACCTGCCGAGCAGGTCAAGACTGAAGCTCCTGGAGCTGCTACAGCGCAGGACAAGACCGAGGAGTCTGCGCCAGCGGATAACCGTCCAGAGTACCTGACGAAACATGCCGGGCTCACCCAGCTCTTCGACCGATTGCCGGCCATCCTCGAGGCTACGGGCCACAATGAGATGTGGGGAGTGACCTTGAAGGACACAGAGGACATTCCCACCGTCAATATCATGATCAAGTTCCTTCGTGCCAACGAGGGTAACGTGAAGGCGGCAGAAGAGCAGCTTACCAAGGCCTTGGAGTGGCGCAAGGAGATGAAGCCCCTCGAGATTGTCAAGAACATGAAGTTCTCGGCTAAGAAGTTCAAGAACTTGGGCTTCATCACCACGTATGGCGTCGGCGAGGCCAAGTCCGTCTTCACATGGAACATCTACGGTGCCGTCAAGAACATTGACGAGACCTTTGGCGATCTTAAAGGGTAAGATATACCTCCGTATAACCGCCAATCTCTTTTTTTGTTAGAGGTATATATGGCTAACCAGTATAGGTTTATTAAATGGCGCGTTGCTCTCATGGAGCTCGCCATCCACGAATTGAACCTGGACAAGGCAAAGACCGTCATCCCAGCCATTGGCGAAGACCCCTACCAGATGTTCCAAGTCCATGACTACCAGAACGTCAGCTTCCTCCGCATGAGCCCAACCATCCGCAATGCCTCCCGCGAGACTATCACCGTCTTCAGCATGGCCTACCCAGAGCTTCTGCGCGAGAAGTTCTTCGTCAACGTCCCTACCGTCATGGGATGGGTCTTCACTGCTCTCAAGGTCTTCCTGAGCAAGAACACCATTCGCAAGTTCCACCCTATCACCAATGGCTCTGCCCTGGCCCGCGAGTTTGGTGAAGCTGGTGCCGAGTTCCCCAAGTCATATGGCGGAAAGAACGCTGAGTTGGCTGAAAGCAGCATGACTGTTGCTCTCATCGACGACATTTCCCAGGAGCGGGAGACTAAGGCCGAGCCAAAGACCGAAACTGGTGCTGAGACAAAGGCCGAAACCAAAGCTGAAGAGCCAAAGGCAAAGGAAGCTCCTGAGACCAAACCAGAGGAGGCCAAGACTGAGACTCCTACTGCTCCTGTGCCTGAGAATACCATTTCTGAAGCCACCGATAAGCCAGCTGGCGAGGCCAATGGAGCTCCCAAGGTCGCAGGAGAGACTGTCCCAGCCCCCGCCCCAGCCGCTGCCCCGGCCAACTAAACAACAAACAACACCCGATACCCCTTGGGCGGTAATTTACTCTCCTATTCTAATACCCGTCAGACTCGCTATCATGCGTAACATGACACTCCCTTTCTTCCTTTTCCCTTAGTAAACTAAAAATTAAAACCCAAAAAAAAAGACAAGACAAGACTCCTAATACAACTTTTCAGCAATGCGAACTGGACTTTCACACACCTTGTCGCACGACAGCCACGAACTAGGTGCAGATGGAACGACGACATGCCGGGGGCTTGGTGTTGGTTGGTAGTTTGCTATTTGTTGATTTCTTTTCCGTTTCAGAGCGCCTGGTTTATAGATACCATAGGATGTCCTTCAGTCGTGTTAAATCTCTACGGGTTCAACTCCTTGTTTTTACACTAGGTAGTAATAAAATAAACCGTCTCCTCTTTATATCTGATCGTCGCCTTGTATATTTATATTCTAATGGTTACAGACAAGTAGATAAATAAAAAAAAAAACAAAGGAAAGTTTATAGGCGACAAGCGCCAGCCGCCATAAGCGCTACTTGCCGCGCTTCTTCTTCCAGCTCCAACTTTTGCGCATCGAAAAAGATATTGGAATGTCGATGATGAACAGGACGAGACAGTTGGCGCAAGAATAAGACGATGACGAGTTTGTGCTGAAGCGATCCGACACACCTACTGCTGCCTCAGCCTCACGGCGGAAGATGCAGCATTTCTCACCTGCGACTTCATCCAGCAACACATCCACCGGACGTTAACCAACACCATCAAGCTCAGCCGCCGCCTTGCGCATCTCCAAGCTCCCACGATGTCGCTCTGGAACCCAGATAACATCCGTGATGTCGCCGAATCCGTCGGGATAAACTCGCTGAACGACGATGTAGTCGAGAACCTATCCCGCGACGTCGAGTACCGCATTTCCCAAGTGCTAGAGGAAGCTCTTAAGTTCATGAGGCACGGCAAGCGAACACTGCTCACGACACAAGACGTATCGAATGCGCTGCGAGTACTAGACGTCGAACCGCTATATGGCTATGAATCCGCGCGCCCGCTGAGGTTCGGCGAGGCGACGATAGGTCCCGGCCAGCCGCTGTTTTACGTTGAGGACGACGAGGTTGATTTTGAGAAGTTGATTAATGCGCCACTTCCAAAGGTGCCCAGGGAGATATCCTTTACCGGTATGCTGTTGGATTGGCTCTAACTTGGTTTGCTACGTATGTACTAACGATGGGAGTAGCGCACTGGCTAGCCGTTGAAGGCGTACAGCCTACGATACCGCAGAACCCTACGGCGGCGGACACACGGCACCTCGAGCTAGTATCCAAGGGCCCGAATGCGAACGCCAACCTGGCTGCTATGAGCGGCAATGAGAATGTTAACGTCAAGCCATTGGTTAAACATATACTCTCGAACGAGCTGCAGCTTTACTTTGAGCGGGTGTGCAATGCATTCCTGGACGAGTCGAACGAGGAGTTCCGCAACTCTGCGTTTTCAAGCTTGAAGGAAGACCCAGGCTTGCACCAGCTGGTTCCGTACTTTGTGCAGTTTATATCAGAGAAAGTTACGCATAATATCAAGGACGTCTTTGTCCTAACACAGGTGATGCATATGATCGAGGCCCTGATACGGAATCCAACATTATACATTGACCCTTACGTGAGTTTTGCCGCCCCCCTAGTTCAAGGAAAAAAGGCCAGGCGAGGTAAAAACATGATAGGCTGACAAGTGGCGTGTGTAGGTTGCACCGTTGATTCCACCGGTGTTGACATGCCTTATTGGCCGCCAGCTCGGTAGCAGTAACGACGCAGTAGAACACTTTGCACTACGAGACCTCTCGTCGTCTCTGGTGGGGATGATAGCGAAAAAGTACTCGCAGTCTTCACACACCCTCAAGCCCCGTCTGGCACGAACGTTCCTGAAGACCTTCCTGGACCCTGGTCAGACTTTCGGTGCCCACTACGGTGCCATAATTGGGCTCCAATCCATTGGCGGCCCAAACGTCATTCGCGAGCTGATTATCCCTAACCTGCCCGTGTACGAAGTCGTGCTGAAGGACGCCGTGACGGACGAGGGCCTTCGGAAAGCAGAGGCAGAGAAAGTGACGGGGGTGATCATTGCCGTGCTCTCGACGATCCAGGACGAGTCTCTCGCCCACACAAACGGCTTCTCGGACGCTGCGGCAGAGGCGCTGGGCAAGGAGCTTGCTGCAAAGGTCGGCGAGCTGATTGCCTCCCGCATCATCGAGTCTGGCCAGCTGCCTCTCGCCAGGGCGATTCTTGAGAAGCAGCAGTGAGCGATATTCCGGCCATTTTCCTTGCTTTTTTTCCCTTCTCTCTCTCTTCTCTTCTTAATATCTCTTGTATTTTTTCAACGGACCGGGGGACCTGGCTGTTTTCCCTTTCTCTTCCCTTCGTCTCTTCCAACCCTCTTTTTCTTCTCGCAGCGGAGTTTGGCTCAGGCCGGGCAAAAGGGACACCAGGCAGGATATTTGACCAAGTATCACGCAGCTTTTTTTTTTCTAACCGTAGTTATCCAACACGCAAGAATAAAATAATCTTCATCCGAAGCTCCACGATCGCCTTATTATTTTCTTTTCTTCTTCCTCGTCGCCGTCCCTCGCACTAACTGCGGCGCTCCCCTTATATTTGCTTCTTCCTTCGCGCTTCTGCGTCATTACGTTATCCGCCAGCTGGTTTTCTCTTTTTTTTTTTCTTTTTCTTTTTCTTTTTATTTGCTTTTCCCTGACACACACGAAAAAAAACGAACTTTCCGCTGTCGCATGAACAAATTCTTCCTCGAGGGGCAAAACGACCTTCATCTTCTTCTCTCTCTGGTTTCACCGTCGCCGTCTCTTCTGGTCTTTATCATCAGCGTCTCATCCTCGTCTGCTCGTCACTGTCATCTCTGTCGTCTCTGCCGTCTCCTGCTCATTCATTGTCGTCGTTGCAAGTTGCTCACTGGCCGCCCGGTTCTCGCCGTGTCAATGTTTTGACTGACGGGCCTCCCATCACTACGCAGCTCTGAAGAGGACATTTATTAACCCTCCATGAGTCGTAAGGACCTGCTACGCTTCCTATCCAAGCCAGCAAAGTGAGTCTCTTCGTCTGTTTCTGTCCGCCGTGGTGCTCGTCGAGAGCGTGCTGACCCTGACCTCCGCTGCCAGACCTCGATAACATTCCCTACGAGAACGACAGCAAGAAAAAAAAACCCACTGGAAAAAACAAAAAAGCAATCCTCCCACGAAGAACAACAACCCGACCGGACACCCCGTCTTACCTCGTTCTTTGCGCCGGAATAGACTTATCTATCCATACAGCAGACATCCTCCTCTGCTAGACCCGATACTTTCACCGGTATCGGCATCTGTCAGTTCGAGGGTCACCGACATCTGATCACCATTCCGGCACTCAAAGCGTTCTACTTCCCCCTCTCCGCCCGCCCACCCTAACACCGTTAACCAGCGGTGTTTTGTATCCCTGATCGAGCGAACAGTCTCTGCCAGTGTGCGGCCAGACCTCCCCCAGGATTTCGGGCCTTCTCCTTCTCAGACGAACACCGCATTGTTCGTCTGGGTGGCAGATTGTGCTTCTAAGTCTTGCTAGGTCAAGCTCAAGCTCAAGCTCAAACACACCACAGTCATCTGCATAATTGCAGTCAAAGTCGGAATCACCACCAACACTCTCAACGAAATATAAAAAACATAATCAAGGAAGAATTCCAGTCTCGGATATGGTCTACGCCGGAATTCCAAATCACTATACGGGATCTCCATCCTCGTATGTGGCACCGTCTTTGACTATCAATCATGAAGCCACTGTGGATTTAGACTCAACCAATGCATTCGAAGGTTAGTATAAGCCTTTTTTTTCCACCTTCGAATATGATGATTACCGTTGCTAACTGCTTGAACAGGGCCTGAAAAGCTTCTTGAGGTGTGGTTCACTGCGTCCCCCGATGACCTCGCCAACTCGCCGGTTCCAAATGGACTCAAGGCTGTGTCGGCGGACACCTGGAAAGGCATGCTCGACCTCGTCAACTGCCAAGTTCTCTCCATTGTCGAGTCTGACGACGTTGATGCCTACCTCCTGTCCGAATCCAGCATGTTCGTCTTCCCTCACAAGCTGATTCTCAAGACCTGTGGCACCACTACCCTTCTTCACGGCCTGCCTCGCATTCTCGAAATTGCTGCGCTTTATGCTGGTTTCCCCAAGTCCAGCCCGCCATTGGTCGGCGGTATTACCACGGCAACTGCTCCGTACCGTGTCTTCTACAGCCGTAAGAACTTCCTCTTTCCTGAACGCCAGCGCGGGCCTCACCGTAGCTGGAGAGATGAAGTCAGAGCCATGGACAAGCTCTTCCTGGGCGGGAGTGCCTATATGATTGGCAAGATGAACGGTGAACATTGGTACTTGTACATTACCGAGCCGTTCACTTCCTTGACGCCTCCTGCGTCCCCTGCCCATGAGACAGAAACCAGACAGATCAACTTTCCCGGCTCTCTCGAGAACGGAGTTGGGGGAACCAAGCAATGCGAGAGTGATGAAACATTGGAGATCTTGATGACTGACTTGGACGAGAAGAATTCCAAGCAATTCTATCTCGACCATGCGAGTGCGGTCGCAGAAAGTCGTTATCGATCTGAACATGAAGAAGAAAACGACGACCTCGTCGACGTTTTCAGCAACACTTCCTCCAACAACAGCGACGTGGGCTCTCCCCTGCCCTCGGAGCTCTCAAGCGAAGGCCACGCTCTTGGTACCGTTGTCAGCGAGGCCTGCGGACTATCCAACATTTATCCCGCCGACAAGCACCCGGGCTCCCGAATTGACGCCTACCTGTTCTCTCCCTGCGGCTTCTCGGCCAACGGCGTCATCCCTTCCAACGATGGTAAATCCGGCACCAACTATTTCACCGTCCATGTCACGCCTGAACCCCACTGCTCCTATGCATCGTTTGAAACCACCGTGCCTCAGGAGCAGACTGGCCGTGACACCGCTGAAATCGTCAGCCAGG